AACAATATGGCATGTATTCACGATCAGTGACTGCATATTGCGTACATTTCTGGCATCCAAGTAAAGACGGTTCAGTACCCGAAGTGTCATTTTTGGGATCACTCCTGTAGCTGATATTGTTATAGGCACAGATGTCACCTTACTGAAGTTCCACTGAGTTGCGACTTCATGGGCGAGTTCGGGATTCTTCTGGATCTTCTCTTGACATTTTTCCGATATGTTGTGGGTAATGGGTATTGATACATACATAAAGAAAACCTGCCGATGGTTTCTATCAATGTATCAGGTCTATTGCCACCAAAGTGTCTGTCAGTGTGTGCTCACTACTTTCAAGCACGTTCTGAGGCACATACAGCACAAAAGTGGCGAGTTATTATTATTTATTATTATTGCTGTTAATGAAGTTAATATTACGATTGTATCTGTAGGAGTCGTGAGAGGTGGACTCATCAGACTGAGGTATTATAAAAGACCCGTTTCTGTCCAGTTTAGAAGCAGTGAGAAGTCATTATGTCTGTCTCCTGGCCATTTGTTTTAGTGTCCTTGTCTAAAACTTGAAATACATGGATAGTAAAATCTTTTAAAATGATTCTGTGCATCACGATCACCACAGCAGCTCTTAAAACAATGATTTATGCTAGTTATCATACATTCACACCGGTTAATTCTGAAAGTTTCGTATTAAAAAAAATTTTAATCTGATTTTCTGTAACAAATTTAAAAACAAAGGAAATGACATTTGTAAAATGTTGTAAGGGAATTTGTGAAATAAACCTTTGCTGTTAAAAATCATTTACAAATGCTGAAAGCATTTTAACAAACTTGTGGTTAAGTTTTGATAATCGGGATTTCGTTGTTTCAGATGATTCATGAAATGTTTCAGATAAGCGGGCCCTTGGTCTGTTACATACTACAGCTTCAGTGAAGATGTTGATCTTAAAGAGGCCCCAACGACAGTCTAAAAAACGAAAATAAAGTATTCGGCATCTCATGGACAAGGACTGACTCTTAATCAAGGTGGTATCTTGCAAATGTGTGGGATCGAGATGCCGAAAGTGGAAGTATTCAGGAATTTCTCAACAGAAGTGTACCGAAATAGTGCTGAAGGAGATTGAAGGTTCGGGTCTTGTAAACACGTATGCGTAAACTTTTTGAAGTATTTGAAAAGGGATTACTGATGCTAATATAAAAACAATATTATTAAAAGATTCTTATGTTAATGCCAATTAGTTGAATCATACCTTAGGTGTTTTATGACACGATATTTGCATTGAAGTTAAGTACAACGTAAAACAAAATGATCAAATTGCTTGGGATACGTAAAATGTAACGTTAAATTTTTCAGACTTACTTCGTCTTTTCCTCATCAACCTGGAATTATTTATTTCTATCATACATTGTGTGCATAGCATAGTAACAATCGTACGAGAATAGAAGAGATTGTTCTTATTAAATTGTGTAGTAATTTGTGCTGTTGGTCAGATCGGTGAGCCATTGGTTTGTCTTTCCATTACTCCTTTCTCACAGTGAACATCGCTGTTCTTGCTCTTGCCAATATTCTGTGGCACGTGAACGAGAGAGTCGTAAGCACATTGTTCGGGGCTTTGGTGCGTTCAAAAATGACAAAGAAAGCAACTTTTACTTCCAATTTGGAACATGAGATTTTAGAGGACTTACACGAGTTCCAACAATTTGACAAGGTCGCCAATAACATAAATATTGAGGCGCCCATTAATCTTATTAAACAATACTTTCTCATAGTTCTGCCATAAATGGATATTAAAATGTGTGAACATTGTTCCTAGTTCCTAGTCTTGATTTTCGAACGCTGTTACTCTTGCAACGCTTGCGAAATAACAACGAAAAGTACGAAATAATAACGCACATATAATTACAATTTTCAGGTGAGCGTAGCTTTCGACCTAGAGCTACGATGTGTTGGGCACCTACCTACAGGTTCACTCGGAGAAGTAATTTTGTACCCTTGTACGCTCTAGATGTTAGGATCAATATTAATGAATTTAATCGTAATGACTCATAGTGCTTTGTATAAGGATAAGTTTCCAAAATCGACTTACCAGCAAACGTCAAAAAATATTCATTATCTTAAGATTCAAAAGTATTATACTCTAAAATGTAATTATAAATTATGATACGATTCAAGTATATTTAATTGTATGTCCAGAAATATTAAGTAGAAATGAAAGTAAGAAGTTTCTTTTTATTTCGCTTAAAGATTGGATATATCAGAGACAAACGTTTGTAGTGTTTCGCCATTATTGATTGAATAAAAACGTATTAATGAGCATGTAATAGCGATTCAGAATGTTAACGTAATTCCATTTCAAGTATTAAGATGTTTAGTTATTTTGTGAAATTCAATGTCTGACTGTGAAAATGCAGATCTTTGACCTTTTCAGAAAGTCTGCAGGAGCAGCTTTGAATCGTGCAGTGAAGATGCACAAAGATGTATGAATTTGTATTAAGCATGTATTTTAACATTGAATACAAAGTTCATTGCAGGTTCAAAATGCCATCTCATTAATTTTAATGCGATAGTTTTGAGTAAATGGACTTCGTTAAGAATATTTGTTATTTTAAGAAACTCACGCTAAATCTTAACGTTCAAAACGTATTAATGTAAAGTAACTGGAAAAAAAGAAGCATTAAGAAATCTGCAACTTCTCTAAACAAATTTATGTACCAGGTGCACTAGTTTGGTTTCTAAAATTGTTTGAGAGAAGTTTCAAAATGTAAAAAATTGTAAGTTTCGAATTTTGTGATAAAATTTCATTATTTTATGATCATTAGTAATTTTGTGCTTGAATTGTACGAAAGTTGTGTAACAAGAGCATTGTAAAATGGTTTAATTAAGATAATATAACAGTAATTTTGTTGCATTAAGATCTGGTGGGAAAATATATGGGCGGCACCGACCATATGGAAACCTTCATTCCTGATCTTTACAACGAATTCCCAAATACTATCTCCCTAAAGTATAACAATGTTCCTGACATCCTACATTGAAGTAAAATTTATAATGTTTTGTGACTGGAGAATAAAACAAGTTTCTTGAAACGTTAATTGAAATTACATTGTGTAAATTTGTATTATAAATTTAGAATTAATAATTTTGAATTTTATTGTTAAATATTCACTTCTACCCAAACCCAAATATCTAAACAAATCAAACAGGATTGGAAACCATGAAGGTTTAGTATTTTAAAGTACACGTGGTAGTATGGCAAATTCAATATTGAGGTATAATTTAAACATACATTTAATTTAAACGTACATAAAACATATCAAATTACATTTGATATTCATGTTAAATAAAAATCAGTTGAATTGTAAAGTACCATGTGAGAACATAATTTTTGTCAAAAAAATTTGAATGCTCATTTTCTTTAAAAGTTACAAAATGTCATAGTAAACAGGTAGAGTATTGGAGTGCGATGTTAAGTTGAGAAATGCTCAGGAAATGAAAATAAAATAGTTCACAGCACTATCAATGAGGAATTTACATTGCCAGCAACACATATCCTAGATTAACAAGGAATATTTTGCAGAATGGCAAAAGCGTTCATAAGCAGTTTCCTATGTGTTATTCTGCGACGCGCGTTACTTAACGCACGTCAACGCAACTTTCGTGAACAAGGGTTCTAACACATAATTTTACTCTGTGATGATTTTTTTTTCAAAAGTTGCCCATTTTTCAAGTTTTTGTTCCGTCAAGAAATTTTAAAAAATGTAAGCCTATAGCTGGATGGTGACATGCTTCCTGAATCCAGCGCAGTTTCATCCCTCCAAATCAGATGCACTGAAAAAAAGAAATAGTTTTCACACAATGAAATATGGTTCTCCTTACGAGAGTCAATAGTAAAAATTTGGCTAAGCTATTTTTGTGGGGATCCTGAACCACCGCTTGTGTGGTAGTACCCTTGTCCGCGCAGTGCTCTGACTCGCAAAATGTTTGCACTTCGTGGATGACTCTCTCGTAACTTCAGTGAGAGGTACCTCAACCCACATTTTTAAGCTTTAGTTACTACATAAATGTTTGTACCAAAAATGGAATATTTGCATCAACCGTTGTTTACTTGTACTGCTTACCTTGCTTCATACCTGCCTGTGATTTTAAATGTTGCCAAACTTATTTCAAATTTTGAGAAATTTGGGCACCACCAAGAAGATTTAAAACCACAAGTAACAGGTAATTTCAAAATTTAGCGTAAATGATTTCAATAAATAAAGAAAATTTTGTTTATAGAATCGTAAATTTGTTTCTAGAAATTCTTATATTTTAAAAATTCAACTAAAAAAAGTATAGGAATTCAATATATAATAAAACTTCAATTAAATAAACTTTTAAAAACTTGACACTAAAAACACTTGATGAAGAGAATATGATGAAGTCTCTTGTGCAATTTTATTCAAATGAAACCTAAAACAATTTGTTTCAATTGAATAAAATAGCATGACTCAGAACTTTATAATACTATTAATTATCCAATACTACAAAAATGAAATAGGACTGCAAAAGAAAATAATATTATATGTGACAACCAGAATCTAAATTAGTATTGTAGTCCATCATGTCACTATTACAGTAACAATTTTTCATACACATTAAATTTAATATTTACAATCATACACAATAATTCAATAAATTAAATATGAATAAAATATAATTTCAAATAAATCAAATATGAGAATTATAATTTTGCGTTATAACTGAACTGATAAAAAGAAATATAAAAAATGTTTAGTTTCATTCAAGAGCACATTATGAACATTTGTTGTTGAACTTTACTATATAAATGTTTTTATAGTAAACTGATGAAAAATGTGTTGAAACAGTTCTTCTGTATTAACACTGCTACTCTTACATGAATTTACTTAATTCCAGCAAGAAGGATCCATATACGTGCACTCTGAACTGGGTAGTAGTAGTTAAGTGAATGGTACACTTTAAAGGCAACCTCAATTGCCCCTGAAGGAGACTCCACTCGAATAGGTCCATCATCAAAAATAACAAAACTTGATGACATGTATTAAATTGGCTCTCCCACAATTAGAGGAAAAGGTTGTAGTTGTCTTCCCGTGCTGTGTGGATTTACGTATCCCTTCCAAAGTATTCTGTAGGTCACCAATAACTCGAAATAAGTGATTTAGTAAGCTAAATTTGGTAGTACACTACAAAGTAATGTTGCATACTTCTGCTAATTACTTCAAATGGACAAGAAGCCCTTCCTGAATTTCTTCCCTAGTGGTACGCCATGCTTTCCTACCTAAAATCCCAACATGCACAATCAAAAACAGCTTTGATATCTCATAGATTAGAGCAGTTTCACAATTTGAAAAAATGTTGGCAATGTTATTTTTCATTTAAAGTTCAAACGTGTACATCTGCCCAAGTTAATGACTTACCTAGACTGTCTTCTTTAACACCATTCCTAACCAATTCCGCTTTTAGCTTCTCAGAAAACACAGGCCACTTAGTGGACCAATTGTGTTGAGCCTCCTTAAATAGCACTGCAAAATCTATTTCAAGCTGAAAAAATCCAAACTAATTAGTATAGAGTATCATTACGGCGCTTCTCACATAAATCTTTTTATAGATGAATTTATACCAAAACTGACCTCCAGATTGCTTTAAAATTGGATATCTGTTGATATACTCTCCAACCTTCATGCAATTATCATAAAATCATGCTTTTAATCACTTCGAGTTATCCACTGTATACTGTAATTGTAAGATTTTACTTAATAAAATGATAATTTTTATATATTAATTTTGCATTAAAAACTATGTAAATCATAACATTGCATCATTGCTTCACAAATCTTTTACTGGTTTCATACACTAACAGAAGTAAAAAGAATAATATCTACTTTTTGATTTGTCCACTCCTAGCGCTCAGTGATTTGAAACTTTTGGAAAAATAATGAAACGAAGCACTGTTTCTTTAATTTTGCGTTTTTGGTCTGTTCACTTTTCTTAGGTACTCGCAACTCTTCAACAACCCACCTACCCAGATTCCTAAATAAAATGAACTATTAAACAGCACTTCGAAATGAACAATTGACGACAACTGTTTATGAAATTAGAGCTGAGGTGCTAACTGAAATGTAAATTTTATCCAAAATAGTCTCTATCATTTATTTTACAATTGAGAGAAATGAATTTGAATCATACAAATGAGAAACATGTCACTATAAGCTAACCGCAAAAGAAAGGATGAGTGATTGCAAAACAGGATGGGAATGCACGAACGACGAAAGGATAGAAAAAAGTGCACGTTCTTATTTCAATAACGTTACGTGATCTTTCAAACTTATACACGTTTTGGAAACTGAACATCAAAACAAGTATACACTCCGTATTAAACATTACACAGTAACAGTATATATTTATACTCACCAGCAAACTTATCGACGAGGAAGCTTCATTTTCTGAAGTGCTTCTATGCACTTCGAGTCCATTGTAACACGCACTTTCCCGAAAACCGAAATCGGCGGAAATCGCACCCTACCACACTCAGGGCCCTATAACTCCCATATAATGGTGGATAATGGTGGAGACCGCTACGGTGGCGCGCTCTGCTGCATCCCCTTCTTTACAGGAACTAAAACAGGAACTGCTGCCAACGTTTTTTTTAAACGTGCGTGACTGCTGCATGAGTTCGCGGGTCGCAAGCAGGACCATAATGTTACAAAAGATAACGTCTACGTTCGTGATTTCTTCAGAGGTTTCTGACAAGTAGAGATTATGAATAATTGTACATTTAGAAGACACTTTTCGTATTTGTCACAAATTAGCCAATTTGTATGTGGGAAAGTTGGCGAGCCTAACCTGCAGCTGCGCCCGGCGACACTAGCGCTTCCTTTAGTAGCAACCTCAAGCTTTGTTCCCGATTTTGATGGAGAGTTGCCGGGCCCTGGCCACACTGCTGCACACTAAGAAAGATTCCGGGGAATTTACGAGAAGTCATGTGACCCCTCGAGTAGGTATCCCGCGAAAGAAGGTTAGCCAATCTTACCAAACTAAAAGACTCAAATACCATGTCGTCCTCGTTCACAAATGCGGAAACCACTGAGAACTTAATGTGAATATTATTACTGTGGTTTTAGGGTACAAGAATTTTTCAATGTCCAGGGTTTGGTAAGTATTGAAAATCACCCAGCGGCACGTGCCCTATGATGATTATTGTCACAATGTATAAATCAATCATCACAACTGCAAGACACGTGTCCATAGGTTTATGGTTGGGAGTGAGATGATCATGTTTTTCAGTGTACTTCTTCCCTAAATTTATCTTGACCCATAACTGTACACTCTGTTTTACGAACATTAACACAAAAAATGCATGATCAACCATTCACCAACCAAAGTTAATTCTCTATTAATTCCTCTAATTTTTTATATAGTGTTATTATTTTTGTTTGCAATAACATTAAATTGAATTTTTGTTTTATTTTGCAATTAATATATCACAAATTTTATTATAAGTTTATAAAATGGCTTTTTTTTTTTTTTTTTTTTTTTTGTATTACAGACGACTTCCTACCTTCTGTAAAAGAGAGTACAGGACATGCTGGAGGTGGAATTCATTCCAGAAATGATACGAAGTATAATATTGTCAAGTGTGGTAATCTCTTAGTATTGCTGTGTGATAATTTTGGATTTCAAGTGATATGTGTTGTTCATGTCCATTCATATCCATAATTGCCTGTTCAGGAAGTAGACGATTTTTTGATAGGTTTTAAAACTAGTTAATATCACTGTAAAATGAATTCTTCCACCAACCACATGGGATGGAATGGGAGCTGTTGTGGGAGGGCAAAATGTGTGGTCAATGCATGTAGTTGGAGATACGGATAGTTTTCACAAGTGATTTACATTGTTCAATAATGTCACTACAACGAATGTTATAAGAATTGATACAAATTGTGTGGAAAGAGATGGGAATATGTTTGTGTGTGTGAATTAACCCATGTATGTAAATCGAAATGCCATAAATTCAGAATTTCAAAGAGATTGTGTTGTTTTCTTTCACTATGTTTTTAATTAAGCCTGCAACACCCTAAATTGTCACAATGTTATGCATTTAAATATTTTTTGAAAATGAAATTTTAAAGAGTACTTTTTCTGCATTTTATCTATGTAAATACATTCATATGTGAACATTCTTCATTTGGTGGAGTAACAAGAATAAAAGGGAGTATCATAGCACAAACACAATTTAATCAATGTTTGAGTAACGAGAATAATTTGTGTTAATCACCAATAGTGTCCCTCAATTTAGTTTCGCACCAATGTGTATAAAAAAATTGCTTTCATAGCTGAGCAGACAATAATTATAAACTTTTTCTTAATAATTGAAAACCCATTCAATGACTGTTATTTTCAATAATTGGCATTTTGGAGGATAACAATTTCATTGTCTGTGGAGCTGTTAATTTTTAATCCACAGATTTTTAAGGTTTCGCTTTTCATATGCACATGATATAGTATTTTATGATAAGAGTTTTAATTTGGTTACATGAGTTGGTCTGGTCACATTGGCCAGTGTATATCCCCTTATTCAAAATAAACGGATTTCTTTCAGTATATTCAAACTATATTGGTATACATACATTTTTAATTAAGAATTTTAAGAAAATTTGTTAATTTCAGAGCTGTAACAGAATTATTCAATAGTCATATCAGATTTTATTTGTGAATTGTGAACTTATTTTATATCGGTTATCAGTAATTTTTGTAAACTTATTTAATGTCCGTAATTTTATACAAATTTATATATTGTGTAACTTAATATATGTAGTAGAGGACTTGATTAACTAAATTGTTTTTGTGGATAAGATTGTGCAAATGTAAGTTTCGTATTCGTTTATAGAAATTAAACATAATTTTCATTTGTATCATAACACTTCAGTTACAGTTTTCATGACGTGAAATTTCACAACCATGTATTGATGACTGGCATGTTGTTTTGATAAGGACACTATATTAAAAAAGTAATGGACACTAGGTGTAGTTTGACAATTTTCTAAATTCATGAATTCAATTGTCATGTGTTTGGTCACAGCAAAGGTAGTTGATTTATAGTTATTATTTATAATGGTTTTGTAAAATTATTTTGTGCATATATTATGTATGTTAATTACATAATGTATGTATGTAAATATTAATTATGTATTGTATATTTACATAATTTAGAAATAAATAGTGTATATGATATTTTTTATTTTGCACTTCCTAGTTCAAAATTGCCTTTGACTTCGAATTCAAAATTCTATTAATTATTGGCTCCTTCATTGCCTTGCGCATAATTTTTAAGTAAATTACTTTCTATTTTATATATAACTATATCCGCCATATTGAAACTTTACTATATAACATAATTTCAAATTTCCCGGTTTACGGCCGTTATCCATTTCAATTGGAAGACTGCCTTTCGACGCTGATTGGCCGGCGGTTTGAGAAAACGACTCCTTTCTGATTCGTTGCTTCTGTCAGGGTGGGAGTATTTTACTACCCCTCCATGAAAACAGTACTTTTCGATAAACAAAGAGTACCGTCTGTCATGTGTCTACAGATATATGTGAAACGGTTTCTTTTATAATGTGTATTACCACTTTGCCACAAAGTATCATTAATTGAAATTTATATACATGTAAAAGTTACATTTAGCATCTGACTGCAGATTCTTTACAACCCTATGTTGATTTTATTATAGCTAGTGAAATTCACCAGCTTTCCAAAAATTATGTCAAGAAAAATCTTGGCGAGATGTGAATGGCCACTAACATTTCCCTTTTTTATTTATTCGTCAATAGCAATCAGATCGCTACGGTACCATCCAATGTTACATACCATATTACATTTGGTAAAAGCGTACCATAATATTTAAACCCATATAGTACATGAACAACAATATTTTCTAGCAAACTCAATAATTAAATCTTTGTTTTACGAAACGCTGGAATTGCAAAACCCATTTTATTATCTGGAGTAACCTGTGAGGAAAGCGCAACCCATAGAAAGTTTTCGGAACCACGAGAAAAAGTTCACAAGTCAGTTCTATACAACGATAACAGAGGGTACTACTAACATAGTACTGTTTGGTTCTCTCCATTTGCCATATTCATTGATTGCAAACTTTCTACGGGTGTACTTTCCTCACACTCCTGATAATAAAACAATTTGCTAATGCATCGTATAGGATAACAAAGATTTAATTATTCAGTTTGCTAGAAAATATAGTTAGTTGTGTAAAACTTGGGTTTAAGCATTATGGTATGCTTTTACCAATGTAAAATGCTATGTGACATTTGATGGTACCGTACCGTAACGGTCTGATAGCCATTGACGAACAAATACAAAAGGGAGAGTCCTGCACTTGTTCGTATCTCATCAAGAAATGAAGAATCCACATTTACAAAGCTAGTGATAATTACCGGTTATTGTTAAATGGGCTTAGTATTAATGAGTGGAATGTAGACGGACTTGAAATGTTTCGTGTGGTTTGCGAACCTGTGTGTCGTTTACATGACATGACATATGGCAGCGTATTTTAAATTATATCATAAGGTATTATGTCTGTTATGAAATAGAAGAACCGTTAGAGCTTAAATGTATATTCCTCAGAGTGGTGTAACAGAGAGACGGCAGTTAATGTTAATATCAGCGTTTTTATTCAAACCTCTAATTTTCATGGAGAGGGAAGCATCCATCTTTACCCCGTCCCAATAAACCAATAGCGTAGAAGGGCAATCCTCCAATGGAGGTGACACGTAAACGACTACCGGGACATTACATTACGAAGCAATATTTCAAAATGGCGGCCAACTATAAATATATGATGATTATTTTTCATGTAAAATGAATGTTAGACATCATAGGGAGAGAGAAATAGTAGCAGAAGATCTGAATACAAGGATAGGAGCCAATAAGTATTAGGAATAGGAATTCGGAGTCAGTGAAAAGAATTGTAGTCCAGGAAGTGAAAAGTCAAGTTATTTTACATACATTGTCAGAATGCCAATAATTCTTTAATAATAGCCAGTGATCATTAATTCTTTAATATTGTATCATTATCAAAACGACATACCAGTTATCAACACATTTTAGCATATTATCAAAGTTGCAATTAAGGAACTATAATATGAATGAACCTTATTTTTAAGATTTATAAACAAACAAGGAAATGTATCTGCATATACGGTCCCCAAAAACTATCCAGCCAAACAATCCAGTCCACAACCATTATCAGAAAATTTACTACAATTTTTCTTTATAAATTACTATGGATGATCAGTTTTTTTATAAAACTTCTCTTACTTATGAATATCTCTGCTGCAAAACAATGCATAAAGTAACCAACTGAAAAATTGCGAAAATAGTCATCTTAGAGTTGAGAAGAAATATGTTTAGAAAATAGTGTACATTTCCCAATAACAGTGTCATAAAGATAAACAAAGAGATGTTCGTAGTCAAGAAGACAACTATTGGAGAAAAATACTTTCTTTTTAATGTAAAAATGAACGGCTCTGCAGAGGATGAAACA